ACACACAGAAAACGACAAAAGTAATTATAAGGGCAATCCTAGCGGAGCGGATCGCCAGTTATCATAAATTGCGCACTTATGGAATTATTTTGTGATGTCAAAATTACGTATCTGAGTGAAGTCTATGTAGTTTAAATCAAACACTGTGTTTTGTTGTATAGTTGTTTGTCATTTAGAATATAGTCAAATCTCCCAAAAGCACAATCTCAAATCAAAACAACATCAATGTTTGAACGGTTTACATGTCGCCCATTTACCTCATATAAGAAGTTTGTCACTAGAGGGCGCAATCTATAAGAAAGGTGTATTGTTAGATAGCTTACAATTTGTGAAAACTTCTTTGAATGTACAACCATTGTTTCGTCACTACTGATTCCGGATTCTCTGAGATTATCTGAAAGTAACTGTTAGCTCTTGAAATAGATATATTAACATTAAGTCTATATCAACATTTAAGCCCTGGAGTACATGTAGTACATGTAACCATGAATGTTAACATTTTGCACAATAAAAGCATACATTTGTAAACGACACTATGGGTGAAGTTGAGTAGTTTTTAGCGTTTCGATTTCAAGTTGATATTGCATGTTATTACACACTGGGTTACCTGGCGGATCCAGAAATTCGGTAAAAGGAGGCGCTCCTATTGACGTGGCCTTCCGCAAGTGGGGTTACTAGTATTAGCTGCAGTTCTGTAGCTGCTGATTTCGCTTTAGTTTGTCTGTGAGCGTTTTATATAATCGGTAAATGTTTTTTTCAGTTCTTTGTCATGAAAGCAGCATAAAGTGAAAGCAGCAGCTACAGAACTGCAGCTAGGTTAGTATTTATTGTAAACTGATGAAAGGCGTTGTTTTCGACAAAATATGATTTGTTAATCACAGATAAGATGATATTTTTATTTGGGACCGAATTATGTATATAATTAATAATCTAAGTCAAGTAACTCACAAAACCATGTAAAACAATGTACAACATACATAATATATGAAGCTAACTTAACACTGGAGACGAACTGACACAACACAACTTTAATATTACTCCAAAACCACACAACTGAAAACAAGAACCCCCCTTGACTTTTTTTAAAAAAAGGTTAAAAGTAAAGGATCTCATAGAAAACTGTGCCCCAATTTGAAACATAATGTGGGACTTAGCAGACGATCAAAATATATAATATATACCGATTACACCCTGCCGCAATGCTACACACCTGACGTTGAACCAAAGAACGGAGGCTGGATATTCGTCACATGAACTGGAACTGAGGGAAACCACGTCGTTTTGAGTCTGTTTCTTGGTACCAACGTTCTCCAATATGAACAAAGTGCCATTACTGTGATGAAAACCACGGCGATGAAACTGGAACGTATGCTTGCTGTAAAATACGACATTTTCAAACATGAATCCACTGACTGTCTATCACGTGATGTCGTACGCATTGCGCGCGCCGTATCTGACCTCAATAAAAAGGGTTACACCATTGACGCCACAGGTCGGCGTCCTTTCAACACCGGTCTGACGCTTATGCAACAGATCTGTTCTGAGACAGCGCTTGCTATGACGACACTACAGGGTTATTCATTGAAGTTTGAAACGATGACTTATAAAATCGTCCGTCCGGCCGGAGTCATATTTCAGAACCCTCTGAACCGAATCCGTTCCGGTCATTCTTTGCTTTATGATTCGATCCAAGACGGCCGACTGGCAGCCATTAGTGTTTTTCAAAATGTGATATCTTAGCCCGGGGGGGGGGGGTACTTGCAAAAAATACTGACAGGGGTGTGTAGCTGGTTGTTTGAAACCCCTATACCCCTTATCAGACAGAAATAAACTCAAATTGCCTACCCCTTTTAGGACAAACTGTGGATATTTGACACCCCTTTCCAGACATATATGGTACCAAGGGAAAAGCAGGTGGACTCCCGGAGATGGACTTTGACGACCGAAATGAAGTCACAGAAAGAAAAAGTTGGCGGCACATATACATATAGCACTTCAATGTGAGTACCCCCGGGTATCTTAGACATGTTATGTAATTTTCATTCAAATTTGGTACATGCATTATACATGTAAGGATACCTGTCCATGACAATTTGTTTTGCAATCGGATCAAATATGGTCGACTGGTGGCCATACTACTACTACTACTACTATATCTTTGATACCCATGTGCAGTCTCATATCTTTGTTTCATACATCATAATACACGCCTATAAATTATTACATAGTAACAAATTAAATAATAAAACAATTAATAATTATAAAAAATGTACATCCATGTATATCATTTAAGATAACATGAATGAGTCTGGTTGCAAATGAATTCATCAATGGCAAGATATCTTCCTGAGATGCATATGTGACGACTATGGGTGTCCAAGTTGTACTCCAAATTATAAATTCTCGAACATACTTAGTATATTAGTTATTTTGTACACGTTCATGTTTGACTTATGTTTCTTTCTCATTAAATTGTAAAGTGCCATGAAAACAATGTTAGAAACGACGCTGTAGAAAGAGTGTCATTGTGTACCGCCACACAAAATAACCTGGTACACGTTTACGATACTGGGGACATGTACTTGAGTTTGAACATAAAAAAATGCATAAATATAATAAATAGCAGATAGAAATATACAGAATGTGACTATATATTAGATTTCAAATTTAGAAGTCATGTAATGAAACTGATTTTTGTTGATACTAAATTAATCTGAATTAAGCTATTTTGTATGTCTATAATTGGACATCTGGTATAAAGAATAATATGTTGACTCATTTAAACACGAGTCACATCTGGGAAGAAAACCATTACAAGGATGAAAAGCTGTCTAAATCAGTCTCTGAAAAGCTTGCAGCCAACTTTCAAACAAACTGTGTAGATTCAATGTATGATGATAATAAGGGAACAAAACATCAGAATAAACTCCGCACATACATACATCTAAAAACAAAATTCACTTTTGAAAAATATTTAGAAACTGTACAAAATCCCTTCCACAGGCCATCCATGACCAAACTAAGAATTAGTGCTCATGTGTTAGGAATAGAAACTGAAAGACATAAAAACATTGACATTTCAAAAAGAAAATGTCAGTTTTGTGAATTAAACGAAATAGAAAATGAAGAGCACTTCCTTCTTAATTGCGGTCTCTATAAAAAAGAAAGAAATGACCTTCTCAATTTGATGCTACCTCAAAAACTTCCTGACAAAGAAAAAATAGTTGCAATACTAAACAATGGTAGTAAAACTTTAGCTCCTTAAATTGCTAAGTACATACATGATTGTTTTAAAATCCGAGAGAACAACTTGAAAAAAGTATTACCAGCTGCCTCAAAATGAATAAAAACATTTACTTTAATTTATTATATTGTATTAATAACTTTGTTTTATACTCTTTTATACTCACTTATTTTTTTTATTGCTATACCTTAATTGTATTTTATAATCAAAGTCTCATAGAGGATACGATAACAATTAAGATGATTATTATTATTATTTACGAAGAAGCCACGGTAAATTCTGAAGAAGGTGACACGTGGTTTAATTGGTTGTCAATTGTGTAATTTGTTATTGTAATATCCGGTTTGCAGTTGTGTTACAACCACTTCAAATATTATGACAAGTACAAAGTACACAATTGACAATAGATTTAGTCTTCTGTTTCCGCGTACGTTACCAAACATGGCGTCAGTCTACGACGTGCCGCGAAAGAACACCCTGACTTGGTCACCTAAATCGCTTAGACTTTCCAAAATTCTGGAGAAGTTCAAAAACCAATTACCGGTATTCGTCAAAGTAGAGGAAGGCATTTACGAAACGTTCGAAATGAGAACCTTCTCCCCAGACGAAGTTTATAAAATCCACGGTACCCATACGGAGACCAAGGTATTAGCTGACGTGAGTCGGGAAACAGCGGAAGACAACGTCACAAGACTGATCATACCACAATCGTTCCAGGGAACTTTTACTATTGTCCCCGCTAACTCACACGCACATGAGAATATATATACAATCACACCGGGTACCAGTGAGTTTACGATAAAGGAGATTTTAGAAGAACCGACGCTGAAGATACCGCTGAAGGTAAAGATACACACGCATAACAGAAGCGACTTCGCGATGTTCCCGTACTTAGACGTTACCCAAAGTGTATTTAGTCTAGAAAGCGTGTTTGAAGAAACCTACGCCGTTACGAGTAGGACAATCGGCAACAAGTGGGACTTTCACGTGATACCCGCAGACACGGAGGTGAATTTTTTTGTAGCCGAACTGAGTGAAAACCCAGTATGCGAAATACGAGCAGATATAACATCCGCAATCGAACTAGGACCACTTCCCATCGATGAACCCTATGTTAAATTTCAATTGAAGCAGAAGCAGTCTCACGCAGTAAAGGCACCACAGTATCATGATCAAATGCATGTTGGTGACGATCCACCGATCTACGAGATCATGGCTCCAAATTTTGGTAAGCAATGACGAAATCAACATTCCGAATATTGTTTTTAATCATATACACGTATAAACAAATACATGTACCAATTACATTCCATTGCTTATTTTACTTATTTATTATTTTTTAATAAAATCAAACTAAAGGTACCATGGTCAAACAGTATTCGTAACAAGAAAGTAATATTGTTATGATTAAGGTTGAAGCCTAGTCATAATTTTAAACAAAATTGGTCATAAATCGCATGACAATGTTCATTAGAGTATGTACAATCATGAAGCTAATGTCGCGTGATACAATTAAATAGAATTATTTTGTGTGTTACAGTTAAGCTTTTTGAGAAACGTGTCCTAATATTTCTTGAAAATTGCCATTTTTAGAACAATTCCATAGAACACAATATTAAAGAAAAATTGCATTTTTCACACTTTTTAAAACCCAATTTTTTTAAATGGTTCAAAACAACAAAAAGTACTCCAGCATTAACAATATATGATTTTTCAACCTATGTCACCAGGCTAGATTTTGAGATATTGCATAATATCTCTGCCATAGGAACCTATGGTAAAATCGTTGTAATACTGTCAAAATGACGACTTTCCACTAAAATACAACTATCATTTTTTAGAAAGAAAGGCTGGTGACCCCAGACTTTTTTAGGTCAATATTCTTATATTGCCTTGGAGTACAGTTTATTGCAAAATGAATAAATTCTGGGTATTTTAATCTATGAGTAGGCTTCTACCTCAGGTACTTTATAGATGTACAAAGGTTGTGGCTGTAGCAAGTAAACATTATCACGTACGGCGACAAGTGTTTACACTAATCCGTTTGTGGTATGTGTTGTTATCACAAATATCCCAGTTACGATTCACAGCGATATCACAAGTTGACGTCAG